CTGCGAGATGAGGCCAAGAAGTAGCATGTGACTAGATGATGGGAGGAACATAATGTGAGACACGTTAACAGGAAATAGGAGCTAAGATGTCAAAGATGATTTTAACATGGGTATTTCTATTCTTGGTGTTGTAACAATGCGATTTGTTTTAAAACACTGCTTTTTATGGAATTTGTCACGTCTGCTGGATTGTTTTCAGAAAAAGAGAAGGATGAGACTCCATTTGTGCAATTTTTCGCCCGTTAACACAACAAGTCTGTTTAATGAAACCTTGCCCCACAGGAGTTTTATTATTCTGTGAATGTGCTCATGGAGGATGCCCTGCCCTATTTCAAATCCAGATGCACAATATTGTGCCTCTACCAGTGTTGTCTTTACAGTCTTCATGCCAACATCTATGTACTGGTTTCATCGATCCAATAGTAGAAAAGAGTGATCTAGCCAGTCACTCCTGTTGGGGGTAATTTGCAATCTCAAGAAGCTAGTATAGTCTCTTTCCATGCCTATTACCAGTCCTTGTTTAGCCTGCAGCATACTCGGGGATGATGTAACACTCTAGTGTATTAAATAGCGATGCATGGGACTGGTGGACTGTAGTGTTGTGTTGTTAAAATGGATGGGTTTTACAACTACGTTAACAGAATAGTCCTGCAAATGCCTTCAGCCCACAGCAAGGATCTACCTCCCAAACTTTTCTTAAGTACTACTTGAAAGTTAGCACAAGCCAGGGATAAAGAGCATTTTGCAAGCAGACACCCTTCTAGGGTGGCTGAGAGACTTTAATTAGCATTAACATAGTCAGATGATTGGAGAGGAGAATAAACTCTGACACTGGGGGGTTTTTTTAGTATCAATTTAACCAGAGAGCAGAGAGATGAAACTTGGGAAGTATGGCCATTCTCTGCTGCTGCTCCTGTGCTGCATAATTTCCTTCAAGGAAACTATTTGATAATGAAAATGAAATACAGATGCTAGGAAGATGTGGCTTGGCCCAAAGACTAAAGGAGTTGTTGCCCTTTGGTGTAAGAGGGAACTTGGCCGTATGGAGAATGCACATTGTACTGAGTTCTTTCAATTTATGAAGATAGTATCTAGAGTTCCGGTGTTTCTTCACTGGCATCCAAGTATGACACCCAGCCTGAAGCACTATTTTGCACAATTCCTTTTGTTGTCTCAGATTTTTAAATTTGAACTGATCATCATCAGTTTTTGTTTTCTTTGGTTGCTGAAGCATAACTAACTACAAAATAGAAAAAATTTGCTATTGAGTCACCAAAGTGAAGAACTGTGGGCCTCTTGACGCACCACTCTAGCGACTCCCTGCATATTTTGTCCTTGTGTGCTTTTTTTTAGTTCTGAGCCAAAATATCATTTTAATAATGTGAGCTAAGTAGGAGAAAAAACAGTTTTAGTAAAAAAACCCAGCTGTTTCAGAAAGCATTGGAGTATAATGTAAAAAACTTAATGCAAAATTCCACAGGGAAGATGAAAGATCTAAGTGAAGACTGTGTTCCTTATTTTCCCTTCAGAAAATTATTATTTTATTCAAAGCCCTCCCTTTGGTCTACAAATTTTTCAGTGGGACTGAGGCCGCAAACTGTTGACAGTCTACATGGCTTCCTCAGAATTAACTCAGTCACCCTTGAGCCAGGGACGAGCCTCTGAAACTGAAACCGTAGATTTTTTTTTCCTCTAACTAAATTGCTTTCCACTGTCTTTAAACACCACTTGTGAAACTGGGACCCAGATCTAAGATGTGTTCCTTCAGTGAGGCTTCATTCTAGTTCGTGTTTCCTCACACAGAAACTCTGGTTTACCTCTGCTAAGGGGGTCCAGCCAGCACCTCTTGATTGGCACACAGTCTTGTTGTGCAAAATGCAGCCCTTGATGTTCCTGATGCAGCTGGGGATGAGAGCTGCTACCTTGCAAGGATGTCACAGGGAAGGACAGTGATTCCTGGGTCTTGGGGGGAAGGGAGGACCAAGACGGGGGCAGGTGTTTCACACAGAGCAGAGCTCAGCTTGTCTCTGTGTGGGGCTCTGCTTTCTCCTGCCAGCTCCTACCACAGAGGCAGGATGTTGCCTACCAAACCACAGCTCTCGTGGAAAGGCAGGAGCTTGGAGCTCTTGCCAAGTTTTGGTCAAACCTGGGAGCCTAGGGAGTGGAAAGGAGAGATACAGATTCAGCTTAGCAAAGACAAGAAATCATTAAGTATACTCCAAATTGCAGCTTTTGAGTTTCCAGGAGGTTTCCCATCCATAACACAAATTACAAGGTATCACCTCTACTGTAACAGAAGACAAAAGTCTCTGACAGAAAGCATTTTGTTTTGAGGATCTCCTAAGCAAGAAGCTTTCAATTATCATCAGCAGTGGAATGAGGACTAATTTTCATAAACATTTCTGAGAAAAAATCCCATGCGTTCCACATGACTTACTGACTATAAAACTTGATAATTTTGAGGAACACATAAGATTTTTACATCAGCTGTGGAATTTTGAAAGATCTTTGAAATTAATACATGTTAACAGCTTATTTCTAAAGTATTTTAATACTCAGCAGAGATTGCATGAAATAGTTTTGCAGAGAAAAGACTGCACAGATTTAATAAAAAATGGGAAGTTTCAACCTTGATATGTAAAACCTCTTAGCTTTAACCTTGGAATTGAGAACATACTGCTGTTCGTCAGAAGCTTCTGTGGTGATTATTAGTTGCTTTCTGCTCTTAGCAGGCTGAGTTGCACAAAACTAGGGAAAACAACCTAAAATGAGAATGGCAAAACTTGGCTTTGGCTCATATCATGGCCATTACAAGCAATAATGTAAAGGAGCTTAAAATGAGCATGTATATGTATTATAGTTTCTAAGCAAGTTCTTTCTTCTGACCAAAATGACCATACCATTAAGGAAAATTAAGTTCTCAAAGGAAACCTTAGGAATTTAAATTTTGTGTGTGTGTGTGTGTGTATACATATATGTAAAAAAACCCCATACATACACACACACATGTAAAATAAATATATTTTGACCTTTAATGCTGGATTTCTTGTGTTCAGTAGTAAAATGAATACTTAGGCAACACATATTAAGAATGTATCCCCATAGTCTCCAAATGGTGAGGTCCTTGGTAAATATAGATATTAACAAACCAGTATAGGTTTATAACTATTAATCTTTATTGGATAAATGTATGTTTACAAAGTAAGCAAACAAGAAATACTTTTTTCAAGATTTTTTCTTCCTGTGGACATTAGCTTATGATGCTGTATACCTCATAGTCTTTGTGCACTTGTTTCAAAGAAGTAGCATAATCTGATTACATGGTGGGTGGGTTTAGTTTGAAGGCATGCCAGAATTTTACTGCAATGATTATTAAAATTACATGGTCTCAGATTTTGAAATCTCATGTGGTGCAAACCTGACCCAAGTTCATAAAGAAAGAATAAATGCATTGGACAACAGTTCATTAAAGCTAATGTTTTCAGTGGTTGATGCATAAAACTAAAAAAATCATAAGACATAATAATCAAGTATCAACATGCATTTTTCATTGTAAGACATGGTTTACCTACATTAGGAACTCTTACAAGCACAGACAGTTCATAGGGCGGATTTTGATCCATTTGCTCTATTGTCATGCTGCTGATATCTGTGCTCAGTATAAAAGGATTTCAAATAAATGTTTTCCTAACACCACCTGCTTGTTATACATTAATGACAGGTAATGTCTGTTTAAAATGTAATCTATGTTTAACTGTAATTTATATTTTACTAGCTTATATGTGGAGAGCCAGAATATGCAGAATATACATTCAAACTTCAGTATTATTTTAGTATATTTAGTACTGATTCTGGTGAGCAGAAAATAGCAAGACAGGGTTTCAGGTACTCAAATTTTGAAAAGCCAGTGGCAAATATTAATGCTGAAGAATGGCCCAGTTTACTGTGACTGGAACTGAGCTAGCCAGTGTTTGTCTCTGTTTAAGTCTTGAACTAGGTTTGCTGCTGGTTTGCCAGGCTGCAATGTCTTTTCCTGAAATACCATTTCTTGGAAAGCAGCTAGGAAAACTGTATGAACAACTTCACTGTTAGGTAAATATGCAATATTAAAAGGTAGTTCCTTCTGAAAGAGCTCCAGACTCCACAAAGTGTGTGTTTCTCTGCACTGTTGGCATATCTGAACTTCTTTGGCATATATGCCTGTGCTTTGACACCTTGCATTCAGCTGCATCAGGTTTTAACAATTTGAAGGCTAGGAAAAAATATTACAATTCCTCTGTCTTATCCCCTAAATTACCTTAGCTTCAAGCTGCTACTAAGGCAAGAATTACTATCACTCTTTTTTAAAGTGAGAGTGAGCATAAATATGTGCTAAAAATCTATGAAAAATGAAACCAGATACATCTTTAGAGGTCTGAGATGGGAATGAAATAAACCTAAATCCTTGACATTTTTATTTTCACATTTTTTTTCTTCTATTTGTAAAGTTTATTCTAGTCCAGTAAAAACTTCTTTCTTTAAATCTGGTCTCAGCTGAACCTGCTTATAATTCCTTCAGGACTGTTTCCATGATGCAAACTTAAATGAACACATAGTAAGAACTGAGTAAATGAACAGAAAAACTTGAATCAAGGGTTCAGTTCCTGACATATAGTCAACTAAAGTATACGTACAGATAGAATTGACTTTACTGTGCAAATTCATCTCTAACTGATTTAAACTGTTTTTCTTTTGGTTTTCTGTCACTTCTAAGAAGAGAACAACAGCGACATTTAATGATTCACTACATACAACTCAGATGACAGTACGTGTTCTGTGAATCTATGTGTCAAATACTCACTGTATTCAGCTCATCTCTGATAAACAGGTAGCAACGCATTGCATCAAAACAAGCCTTATTGATCTTCCAATGTTGTAATGCTATTTTACGGTCCAGCGAAAAATACCAGTTCCAGAATAGAAGTTTTCTCAGGTAAATGCCTGTTGGGATGTTCCTTTTCTCATTTGGTTTCAAAAAGAAGAAACCCAGCAAAGGTGGAAAAACGTTGATGGTCCCCATGGAGGGCTCCATTTCCCATTCGCAGCCAAACTTCATCCCCCTTGGCAAGTTTTAGAACTGCACTGTTTCCTGAAGTGTCTGCTTTCCCTTTTGATTCATAACTAAGGATAAATATTTTAACATGTTAGATTTTTGTTTCTTAACAATGGCCAAGCAAAGAACTTTTAGAAAAAAGAACACAAGAGGGCACATTGTTATCCTGAGCAAAATTTCCTCAAGTTTTACTAGCCTTTTTTCATCTTTATGAGAAAAAATCTGTCATCATTCTGCATTTGATGTCCTAGTAAACTTTTGTACCTTACCTAATTACATAATTCCTTCTGAAATTCTGGAAGATTAGCTTATGCATTTTTTTCCAGGGCAGAGGAACAAATTTGTTGTTTAAAATAAAACTCTGCTCATTCATCACAACACTCCAGTTTTCTTGTGAAAACTGGGATTCATCCCAGTTAATTTTAAATGCCTCCAGGTCAGGAGTCTTATGTGAGTGGAGCCACTGTACTCCCAGCACAGGTAGTGGGCAGAGACGGGCAGCTCACTCCATCCTGAGGCCTTTCATTGGGACGTAGATATGCTCAATGTGGGCTGACCTGCTGGCGTTGCGTGAGTGTCGGTTCCCTTTCTTCCACATTCTGCCTTTCCTGACCTCAGTGCTTCAGGAGAGAAAAATTTGGCACTTTTTCTGTTGCAGGAAAGATCTGTTGGGAATGAAGCAACCTTTGGTGTTTCTTCAGGTACAGACTGTTGAAGAAACCTGGACGGCTTGAATGAACCTGCTATCATCTAAGTGCCTAAAATCCAATGTGATCAATCTAAGATTTTGAGTCCGTATATTCAGGTTCAGGAGAGAAACATTTCATTTTGGCATCAGACCTCCGGTTGGTTTTAAAGAAATAATTCTTTTTCAAACAAATATTTTTTTCACATAGCCAAGCTAGAAGTGGATCCTTCTCTTGATGATCCTCTAGCTAACATAAAGAGTTCAGAAATTTTCTATTCAGAAGTGTGCTAATGATAACAAAGCCAATAAATGGAGACCCTTACTTCTTACTCATCCTTCCTACTGCAGTTTAACTGCTTTCCACCTTGCAAGTAAACTGCTCTCCCCTGATCTTTGACAAGACTATAACTAGTTGCTGAACACTTCATTATGTCCTTTGTCTGACAGGCAAAATGAGGATGAAGGTTTGTTTTAGCAAAATTACAGCATGTTACCACTGAAATCCAGCCCTGACTTGCAGTGGCGATTCCTTTCCCCTGAGGTTAGAGGAACTTGTGATTAAGGCTGAATTCTAGATCCAGGATCTGTGACAGTTATGATCCAAATTTGCAAGTCGAGGAGGGCAAAATACAATAGGCTTTCTTTGCTCGTTATTTTACCCTACAGAATTTCTTAAAAAAAATTGAACAATTTCATGTTTCTTGAAAAGTGAACAAGCTATCACATCTGTGCAAGTGTGTCGTTTGTGTTAAAATGGCCTGGCTCTTCACTTACCTATATAAGCTGAAAACTGTATTACCATTATGCATCAGGTACACGTACACTTCCTCCACATCTTCATGTTTCATCATATTGAAGGCGAAGAAGTACACCCCTGAAAATATTACCAAATACAGCATGTTTGCTTCATAGAGAGAGGTAATCATGCTACAGACATTGCTTCTTTCTTTGAAAACCTAACAGCTGAGACCAAAATTACCTTCCAGTTGTCAGTGGGTATTTTGTTCTGCTATAGTGTGCCAAAATTTGATTAATTTTTATTCCGCATATGGCAAGTGTTCAGCCATAGCGTTCAGAGTAAGGACTGTATTTGAACACGGCAGGACCGCTCATCCCTTCATTCCCACTGAAGGGGAACTTTGCCAGAGGCTGAGTCTAATGACTCCCCTTTCATCTTTTTTTCCTTATCTTCTTGCTCACACCTTCTCCCAAAAGGGCTTGCTCAGTTTCTAATTTCATTTTTCATGAGAGTAGTTTGCAAGAGCTACGCAGTGCCTTATGCACAGGGGGTTGACTGATTTCTTGTCACTATTGGCCATGCTTCTCCCTATAGCTCCTAGAGTTGCATTAGTTTATCTTGCAAGTACTCACCATTCACTGGAGCACCAAACCTCCCAGTCATGACATCAAAAAAATTCCCGACGTTGGTTTCAACACTACTGAAGATGATCCCGCTGTTCTGGTTGCTGAAGTGAGTAGCCATGGAAGCCATGAAAAAAAAAGTTCTTATTCAGGCGGTTATTCATGAAATGCACATGTGCAGAGGAATCAGAGCTACAGATTATTTTTTTTTCCTGTATTTGTGGTCTGTTTATTTTCCTGATGGAGATTTTCTTCTAGGGCCTGCTCCAAGGCCATTAAACTCCAGTAACAAAACTGCCATTGAATGAAATTGAAAGAAGACTAGGCTTCTTACGTTCAATTGGACTATTCATGGCTGTAAAAGTAAGTGTATGGGCAAGCGTTTGCAGGTCAGGACCTTCGTTTGGGATTTTATTTACTTGTAACTCTCTCTGAAATGATGCAACAGAAAACCAGTATCAAAATGGATGGTGTTTCCAAAAAAGTGATTCAATTAGTTTTTGTATATTCCCCAATGTATTTAGAGTGGATATTCTTTTAACTGAATGTGTGAAATATATAATGCTCAGTAAAATCCAGGCATGTAAGTGTTTCTTGCTAACTGCTTGCAGAGATACATTAAGCATTTTTGTTAGAGGTCCACTAGAAGTGCAGCTAATGGGCCTCAATGTTCAGTGCTTTTACTCTCTTACCAGTCACCTTGTACCCTCAGTCATGACAACAGAGGGTGGTAGAGACAAAAAAAGAGGAAACTAAGGAAGTGAAAACTGTACTTCAACTTCATGTTACACTTCTTGCAGTGGGACTTACTGGCCCTGGAAAGTGTTTCATAGAAAGCAGTGCAAAACTTCCCACATTGTACAATTCAAATTGCACTCAGCCAGGTCTCAGGGAACGACCCTTGCCAATTTGCATGGGCAAGGAAGGGGGTTATCTCTTCTCTGAGTTTGTGACCCCCTCATCTGACTCTCAGTAAAGGGGGTGTCGTGGGTTAGGGCTGGGCCGGCCTC